TAGGTTTACTGTAAGTCTACTATGGGCTTACGATGTTACCTTACAAACCTTACATGTAAGCCTGCTGTAGGCCTGGTGTAAGATGTTGTGCTGTGTGGGTACTATCTGCTCTAATTTTTATTAGTAACTATATCCATTGTAATTAAAACCAATTTTGGGGGGCCTAAATGTGATACGGTAAAATAAATTCATATAAAGCGAATTACTGATTTCAAAAAAATGTGTGATCAAAATTTCCATTGAAAATATTGGAATATGCAAAAATTATTAAATCACATAATTATAATTTCATCTAATTGTGTATAATTTTATTTTTTAAAACTTCAAATTTTATTAATTCTAATTTGTGTCTTTCTAAACATTATTTATTCTTATCCACAATTCTTAAAGTACAAAATTAAGTAATATAAATATAAAAATCATTATATAAAATTTTGATTCGTTGAATAAAAAATTCTTTTATGTAGACATTGTAGATATTAATAATTATATTGTATAAAAATTGGATCTTTTAATAATTTGAAAAAATAAAGTTTCTATATGAAATTATTTTTTTTTTAAAAAGACACAAACTTGAAAATTATGAAAAAATATTTATTTCTATAGCTATATCCAAAAATAAATTAAGAATTTACTAATTATTTAATATACTTTTTTATTTTTAATTCCTACAGTAATTTAAAAAAAATGTACAGAACAAAAAAAATTATTTCGTTCACAAAAAAACATCTGATATAATTATGTATATTAATTACTTACCTTTTTTGTCAGATTATATAAATCTTTACAAAAATTTTAATTTTTTAGAGAACTGATCCAAGTTTAAACTTCCCTATAATTATTTTTAGCAAACTAGTTGTTAAGACTAAGTCACTGCGGGACCACTTACCATTCGAGTAAAGCAGAAAACTGCTTTACCGACCGAGGATTGAGCAAGGTAAACCTTGCTATTTTCCGCCAGATAGCGTCATCTTTTTCGCGGGAATATCTAGGGTTGAGTCATCTATACTTTTTCCGAAATCGAGAAAACAACCAAATGCTAAAACATCGAATTTTAAGAGCATTTTATTCTAACTTTAAGGAATTAGATGCCAAGAAGATAGTGTTGCGTATAACTTTAACATAAGTTTATGGATTTTAATTTTCTACTAGTGCTATTTTGAAGAAGGATTTTCTATGTTCTTTTCGGTAGCTAAAGATTTTATCCAGTAAAATTCTAAAAATATTCTTCACGGTAAAGACAATCCACAAAAAAATTTTGAGCAAAAAAAGTGGGGTTTTTGAGTAATTTAAATAAAAAATTTTAAATTAAAATGTTTAGAGGCAAAATCAGATGGTTAAAAAGTGATAATAAACTGATGAAAAATAGGTAAAAATTGTTCTGAAAAGAAGGAAATAACTTGTTTGACGGTTGCAATATGGCTTAAAAAAGACAAAAATGAGCATGTTAAATAGTGAAAAATACATGAAAATGGGTAACGTGACCATATCCTCAAAGCCGTAATGCGGGACACGCGAATTTTTATCCTGGTAAGCAAAAAAAAAGTAATTGGACAGGTAGACTATACTAACTATCAACATTTTACATATTTTTTTGACTGATGAATTTTTCTTAAAAATTCTTTCTCATTCCTACACTGAAAAAAATTCCTAACCCCCGTATACCAGGAATTGACTAATTTGCCTGGTTACGAGAGGAACCCACTAGGCAATCTTGGTGAAAGTTGATTTCGACAATTAGTCGGAATGACTAGGGAAGCTTATCAGAATAACCAGGTATCTTAGTTACATTGGCTAGAATCACTTTGACTAATTAAACTTTAGCAAAATTGACTATAGATACATGCGATATTAACCAAACACCTTAGTTAATATAACTAGGAAACAAGGGGTCAATTCTACTAAATCGACTTTGACAATATTAACCAAGCTACATAACTGAATTGACTAGGATGCTTGGTTACGCTGACTAGATTTAAAGTTGCTATGGTTAATAGTCATTAATGCGAAGCAAATTTTTTTTCAGTGTATATATGTAATTACTATTACACAGTACAACAGCACTTTTATTATGCGATTCTGAGTTTTTTGACGCTGAACACGAATCCGACCTCAAAATGTCAAAAATGTTTTTTAGGGTACTTTTTGATATTTTAAAACGGCACAAAAATTTTTTTGGAAGTTTTTGTAATATGCATTTGAAAGCTCATATCTCCTTGAATAATTTGCAATTTAGAACATTTAAAAATATTTAATTTTGTATGAGATATCCTTGTTTAAAGTTTGCGTTTGAAAAAATTGATATAGGTACCGTTGAAACTTGTCTCTCGGGGATTCCATGTTCTATATAGGCTTAAATTAAATTTTAAATAGTACATTTTGAGACCCATATACGTAAAATAAAAAATTTCAAATTTGGAAAAAATGGGGTTTTTTCCAAATTTGAAATTTTTTTATCTTGCGTGGGTCTCAAAGTGTATACTATGCAAGATTTAATTTAAGCCTATAAAAAAGTCTCTAGTTTGTCAGGTTAAGAAGAAAACAATACTGAAAACCTTCAAAACCATGTTTTTTGTGGTATTTACCCCATGTTTTTTTCCAAATTTGAAATTTTTTAACTTGCGTACATGGGTCTTAAAATGTACTATTTAAAATTTAATTTACACTCTAAATCTGAATCAGTAAAAATTTCACTGAATTCAAATCAGTGGCTCAGTTTTCTTTAATTCACCAGTGGAATTTCACTGAGAATCAGTGGTTTTTACTGATTCCCAGTGAAATTTCACTGGTGAATTAAAGAAAACTGAGCCACTGATTTGAATTCAGTGAAATTTTCGCACTGATTCAGATTTAGAGTGTAAGCCTATTATAGACCCTGGAATCTCCAAGAGACAAGTTTCAACGGAACCTATCAATTTTTTCAAACACAAACTTCAAACAAGGATATCTCATACAAAAATAAATATTTTTTTATGTTCTAATTTTCAAATTATTCAGGGAGATATGAGCTTCCAAATGCATATCACGAAAACTTCATAAAAAAAATTTTTTTCCTTTATAAAAAATCAAAAAGTACCCTAAAACGACATTTTTTCAATTTTCAGTGTTAAATTTCTCGAAAACCTAAGGTGCGATGGAGCACACGGAGAGAAATAGATGGTAAGAATTTATGATCTTAAGATGGTAAAAAGTAGATGTTATCCGGTACCATCATTATGCTACTCGGTACTATCAAAGATGTTACAAAAAGTATGGTTATGTTACCCACTATAATCAAGATGTTACATTGTACAATCTGGATAGTAACTGATAGAATCTAGGTTGCTGTCCGTATATGTAAGATCAAATATGGTACCTGGTACTATCTAGATAGTATTCCGTACCATCTATTTCTCTCCGTGCAATTATGAGTTCAGATTCGTGTTCAGTGTAAAAAAGTCTGTAAGAATAACCATATCCCATGTGCGAAATGCCAAGACTCACAATACGGCCCAACATTAACCCAGTAATGTCTGCCGAAGTATGGCAAACGTTACTGGACCAGTACTGGCGATCAATTCGTTCCATTATTGGGCCAATATTGGCACCAATTCTCGGTTACTCTAATTTGCCATTTATTGGGCCGAACTCTGTCCTATTACTGGGCCAATATTGGCAATGCGTCTCAGTTACTCCAATTTGCCATAATTGGGTCGAACTCCGTGCCATTATTGGGACAATATTGGCACCGTTTCTTGATTATTTTAATTTGCCATTATTGGGCCTTCTCTGTCCCATTACTGAGCCAGTATTGGCAATACGTCTCAGTTACTCCAATTTTCCATAATTGGGCCGAACTTCGTCACACTAGTGGGCCAATATTGGCGCCAATAATTGGTAATTCCACTTTTTCATAATTGAGACGAACTCTGTCCCATTACTGGGTCATTATTGGCTCATTGACGGCTGAAATGTTGAATTTATTTTGACAAGTCATTTTTTCCAAAGTTGTAACGATTCTTGGCCCAGTAATGGCGCATTAACGGCTGAAATGTTCCTCAAATGCAGCTTATCAAAACATTTTTGTGTTGAGATTCCCATATCCGCGTATAGTCTAGTAGTTAGCGTGTTAGACTTCGGTGCGTTAGGTTGCGAGTTCGATTCCCGCGAGCAATACAAATTTTCAAATGTTTAAACAATTGTTCTTTCTGTCAGGACTTGAATTATAAATGTATAATGAATTAATTAGTTAATTAATTAATTATTATATTTTTTTAAACTCTGACAATACTGGGCCACTAATGGCAGCCAAGATTGGCCCAGTAATGACGTCTGATACTTGGCTGCCGACGTCCAACCGCAGTTAACACCACAAGAGTTGGCCCAATATTGTCTGCCAAGACTTGGTGTCCGATTTGACAATGCTGGGCCAATATTGGCCCATGTTAGTTTTCGCACATGGGATGCAATCCCAGAAATAAAAAAAATTCAAATTTTGTTGCACAGTGTTATATAACTTTCTAAAATTGTAAACACAAGAAATTCTTATTTTTTGCGGGAAATGTGGGACACTGGTCAGGTAGAACAGGTAAAAATAGTGAAAAATACGTAGAAATAGGAGAAGTTTTTTAAATTTGAAATAAATTTCGTTTTGAATGAAAAAAAAAGTGAAATTAGTCATGGAGAACAAGGGGATGTTATTTAAAAAATATAGGAGAGCTTTAGATTGTAAATTTGATCTAAAAGCACATTTAAAACGCTTATAAAAATGCATAAAATGGAAAAAAAAATTGTAAATTCCGTCGTTTTACTGTGGGTGTAATGATTTGAACTTGTAAAAGGGGGGAAAAATTGCTCTTTTTTAGCCTGTACCTTAAAATGAATGGTATACAGAGAATGAATCTCTCGACTGTATAACTGCAGTGTTTTCAGGGGGATCCTGGATCTGCTGACACGGCAATGTGTGTGTGTGCAAGACAACTCGCCGTGTGGAGGTGGGCTGCCTATCCAGTCGAGCCGCGAACATTGAACGGAGTGCACGTTTTGTCGAGCTTTGCTTTCATTTTTATTTTAGTATATATAATAAATAAAAAAATGAATTTTCAACAATTAAATCCCCAAACACGTTTCATGTCCCAATTGGATCAATTTTATTGAAAAAAGAAAAAAAAACGATAAATTTCTATTTTTCTAAAAGCACGTGTACCTGAGTGACATTTCAAATTTTTCTTCTTTAAGATCAAGAGGGAAAAATAAAAGTGCATTTGATTTTCATTTGAATTTTTCCACCAAATGGAAAATTTATAACACCTAATGTGTTTTTTTTAGTGATTATAAAAAGAGGAAAGAAGGAAAGAAAGAAAGGATAAAATGAAAATTGTTTTTGTTGATAATAGTGGATTAAAATTTTCTAGAACAGAGTTTTTGAATTTAAAAGCAATTGAAGTTGCGTTTCCGCTACCGGGGAGCCTTGGCCCGTGAAGCCAAGATCCTGTGAGTATACAGGAGAGAAACAAGTAGAGTGGATGATTTTGCTAGCTATATATGCAACTTCATTCTCCGAGAGAGGTCTGTCTGCATCCACAAGTTGGTAGAGCCCGAAGGCTTCGTCAAGTAACAGTACATTGCGTTTGCTAGTGTATAATCCCGTCTCTACTTTCTCTCTCTCTCTCTCTCTTTCTTTCCTTTTTTCTCCTTCTCTCTTCCTCCCACCTTCGTCTGTCCGTCTGACTGTCCGAAGAACGGGACCAATACTCAACTCTTCCATCTTTGTCTTTCTCATAAGCCAATGTCTTCTCGAAACCAGTCCAATGGACCTCACGCATCACATCTAATGCTCGAATTTCAATTTTTCAATTTTATTCAAAATCTAGAACAAAAATTGATTTTCAAACTGGAACCAAAAAGCACGTGCACCAAACGCGGGAAAGATTGAAATGATGCGCATGTCTTGAAAATCTCTAAATCTTGAAAATTTTGATTTTAAAAATAAATAAATTTTTGAAAAAGAATTTATTTTTAATATAAAATGTATTAAATTATTTATAATGCATTTTATTTTTATTTCAATAAAATATGTCTGATTTTTTAACTATCAGACAGTCAAGTAAGATAGTATATTTATTTGCTACTGCCAATTTTACGTCCGAAAACTAAAATTATAGAAAAGATAATGAGGAGTGGTGACTAATAAAGTGTGTGTATATATATATATTTATCGACTCGCAACATTGGTGAGCGATTTCAGTTCCTGTTGTACAGTTGAATGGGGATTGTCCCTGTTTGGACTTTTGTTCAAATCGAAAAATTGTGTTTTTTTTATTAATGTGGAGTGCTTTTATTTTCTTTTTGGAATCAATGGATAAATTATAGCGGAAATTTCTTTTAAGTTTGTCAAGATGAAGACCACATTACGAGCATTAAGGTAGGATTTAGTGGATATTTAACAGAAATTAAATAAAATACAGGCCTCGGATGAATTTTTATTTAAAATGCAACTTTTTTCGACTTATTTTAATAAAAGTCGACTTATTTTATAATAATAGACAACTTTTTCGACTTATTTTACAAAATAAATGTTTTCAAAAATTTAAGGATACGAAATCGAGTCGTGAACTTATTTTTGATTAGTGATATCGCAAAAAAAAAAAATAAAATTCGATAATATTATGGTCAATTTATAATTTTCATCAAGATTCAAATAGAATATAAAAACTAGATTTATTAAAAATACGTTATAAATCAGATTATTTCACTGAAAAAGAAATTTATTTGATTCAAATACTCGATTACTTGACTATTATCAAATGAATATTTATTTGTATCAAATAATTCATATTTTAATTAATTAAATTTTATTTGTATAAAATACAGAAATTATTTTTGAAAATACTATTTATTTATAATATCCCGCAGTCCAGTTGGACCATAAATGGAGAACGAAAACTTACAAATAGAAAAAATTATATATTTAAAGAAAATTATTATTAGGTGGCGCAAATACTGTTCCATATTATTTAATTCAAATAAAAATTATTTGGTTCATGTAAATATTTATTTCATAATAGTCAAGTATAATTGAGTATTTGAATCAAATACATTTTTTTCAGTGTTTCAATGAATCATTTTTTTAATACAAAATTTTTGACATTTTTTTAATTAAACATTCTCTAAAATTCAATTATTGATTAGGGTTTTGGTGTAAAATTTCAGAAATTCAATAATTTACAAAATTTTCAATCCAAAATCTCCTGAAATTTGATAAATATTGTGAATAAAATATGGACTGTAACTCTTTTGGAATTAAATTATTTTTCAAATTTCTATTTAAAATTCTTTACCAATTTAATTATTTTAAATAATTTTAACTCCAAAATTCATTTATTTAAAATATTTAATAAATACTTTTTAATATTTAATTATTGTCTGTAATTAGTAAAAAAAATCAATAATTCAATTTTACAAAATCAATTAAAAATCATTGGAAATTCAATTATTTATAAAAATCTAAACTATGAAATTCATTCAAAACTCAATTATAATAATAATAATAATAATTTTATTATTATTATCAATATTAATTAATTTTTTTAATTCAAATAATTATTTTTATCGAGTTTTTCCAAAATTCAATTATTTAAATCATTTTCAGGAAAAACTTCTCCCATTTCCTATAAATTATCTTATTTTTAAGATTTTTTCTGCTTATTTTACAAAAAAAACTTTTAAATTAATTAATTTATTAATTTAAAAATAAAATTCTTATGACTTTTCTAGTAGGTACAAACTGTAATTCTTCCAAAATTAAATTATTTTGATAATTTCAATCTGAAAAGTCTGCGAAATTAATTATTTTCAATTTGAAATATAATTTTAATGAAAATTTTCATAACCTAATTATTTTAATCATTTTTCAATTAAAAATAAAATTCTCTAAAATTCAATTATTGGCTAGAATCTTTTTTATAAAAGTTCATCAATTTAAATTTACAAAATTTTCAATTCAAAATCTCCTAAAATTTGATTAATTGTAAAAATATGAAATGTAACTTTTCTGAAATTCAATTATTTTTAAAATTCTTTGCCAAGTTAATTATTTTTAATAATTTTAATTAAGTTGTTCCAAAATTCAATTTTTTAAAATTATTTATGTGTGTAATTTGTAAAAAAAATTTCAGTAATTCAATTTTACAAAAATTTCATTTAAAAATTTTTCGAAATTCAATTATTTATAAAAATCTAAAATACGGGTCTCATCTAAAACTCAATTTTAATTTACAATAATATTAATTATGACAATAATAATATTTATTTTGAATTTTTCAATTCAAATCATAATTTTTATTCAGTTTTTCCAAAATTCAATTATTAAAAATTGTTTTAAAATATTTAATTAAAATTTTTTTAATATTCAATTATTGTCTGTAATTAGTTTAAAAAAAAATCAATTCAAGTTTACAAAATTTCAATTTAAAATCTATTTAAATAAAATTATTTATAAAAATTTTTAAATAGTTATGTAACTTTTCCAAAACTCAATTATTTTTAAAATTATTTAAAATTCTTCGCGACAGTAATAATTTTCAATATTAATAAATTGTTTCAATTGAAATAATTTTATATCGAGTTTTTCTAAAATTCAATTATTTAAAATATTTTTATGGAAAATTTCACCCATTTCCCATAATTTAACTTATTTTTAAAAAGTGACTAAAACATTTTTTTTTAACTATTCCACATTCAAACTTTGACAAAATTCGGAAATTATAAATAATTTTCTTAAATCAATAACTTAAAAAATTGTTTAAAATATTTTTACTCATATTTTTTTTATAAATCTATAAAATTTTTGAAATTCTTGAAATTTTGTCTCAGTTCAATTTGGAAGTAATATTTAAAAAAATTTTTTTGTTAAATTCCTATGCAATTATTCTTATTAGAGAATTATTAAAATTTATTTATAATATCTAATAACAATGGTTAATGGAAAAAAAATCTTTATTAAATTAAAATCAAAATTTAAAAAATCGATTGTTTCGACTTTTCTTCTAATGTAAATCGACTTTCTTTGCGCCTTCAATTTAATCCGAGACCTATATTATTATTAGTAAAATAATAATAATAATAAAATAAAGTGGAAAATTACTGTCTCTAATAAACACGTGTACAAATTATGCAAAAAAACAGTATTTAAAAAATTTTATTTGTTCTTTACTCTAAAGACTTCTACTGAAAATTATATAAACTTATTTATATTGTTCTATTATCATTATTTTTTTTATACACGTAGGTCGAAACACTTGTTTTCCTTATTCAAAGATACGGGGAAAAGATAAAATTTCTGATTACCAGATTGGTTTAAAAATCAACCTTTTTGAAGGAAAATAAAATTGAAAAAAATTGAATGAGAAACTATAAATAATGAAAATAAATGAAAAGAAATTTTTGCAAACAAATGTTAATAATAAACAATTTAATTTTAAGAATGACCTTTTATATTGAAACATTTAGTATGTATAAAATGCGCGTTTAACAACACGAAATAATAATTTATACAATATACATATAGATTATTATCGAACATCTGCTGCTACAGAAGGTATATTTAAAATGACTCATCACTGCCATATATATACAAACTTCGGTGAATGAACTACATATACATATAGTAAAAGGCATAGAAATTGAGGTACATATATATGTATTCGTAAACTATTTTCATTATCTAAAGTCCTCCAGAGCAAATAATTATGTATGTTCGGAACATGTCAATAGAGATTCCTGAAATATGATTCTAATAAATAATTTATACCTTTAGGTATTCGCGTGACGTTCATTATAACTGCTTCTATTTCGAATAAAAAAAAAAAGTTCTTTTCTATTAAATTATTTATAAAAAAAAGTTTTTTTTCTTATTTTTTGTAGCTTTTCTATTTTTACACCACGGAGAAAAAAAAATTCTTAAATCTAAAATAAACGGATTAGAACTAACAAATCTGATTATTGTTGTTAAAACAAATTTTTTGTTTGTTTATTTAAAACTTGCAGGCCTCGGATTATATGACTTTTTCTGAATTTTTTTTCGAAAATACGACTTTTTCGACTTATTTAACCCTTAACTGGCACCATGGGTCAAGTAGACCCGACCAATTTTACGAGCTCAATTTCATTTAATGTGTAGCTTTTGAATATTTTTTATATTTTAATATATTAGTTTGACATATTCTTAGTAAATTTGTAAGTTTTTTGATACAACTAATTCGTTTTTATTTTTCACAAAATTAAAATAAATTAATTCCTAATTACATTTTAAAAAACACATCATAAGCTATCTCAGTTGAAATTTTTGTGAAAAAATATTCAATACCGGTTGTACAATACACGTTTAAATACGCCGGGTCTAGCAGACCCATTGTGCCAATTAAGGATTAAAATTGAAATTATTTTCAACAATAATTATTTATTTTTCGTGAGTATTATAATTGTTTCTTTTTGTGCTCGAAAATCATAATTTAGCCCAAAATTGTGTTTTTGAAAAAAAATAATTTTTTAATATTTCTTGGTTGAAAAATGTTTTTTTTAAATTTAAATTATTTTGAAGCCATAGTTTATTTCAAGTTTCAGGAAAGTCTCGTTGCTGTGGGGTTCAATTTACAGGTATTGCAATTAGTCACCTATTCCCTTTTTAGGGTTCCGTTCACGCAGTGAACCGTGACGGAACCCTTGTGGTTTCACTCATGTCCGTGCATAAAATTATGTCCCTTCCTCTGAATTTTAAGCCATATTTTTAACATAGAAAATTGAATTTACACTTAACATATTTTTTTCACGTGTTTATTTCAGGAATATAGTAATATAGCAAACTGTATTGAAATTGATTTAAATAGCGTTTTTCAAGGAAAAACTGCAAATTCTTGAAAAAAACGTGTCCTCTCTTTAAATTTTAGAGTTTTTGAAGTTAGTGAGCTGGGTACACGTGTAAAATATACAAAAAAAAGTACAACAAACCGGATTAGAATTTATGTAAAAAACTTTTTCAGGGAAAAACTAATAACTAATTTTATCAATTTTGGCATCTATTTCAACTATTTTAATTATTTATCACCATTTTGTGAAAAATATAAAATATAAATTCAAAATTTTCTCTTAAATATTTTGAAATGTTTATGAAATTCGTAGGTTTTGCACGCAGAGAAAAGATTTCTTTGATTTAAAGAAACCAATTTTTTTTAGCTGGTTTTCTTTCGTTTAAAATAACCTTTTTTTTTTAAAACAAAAAAAGCTTCTTAGTTTAAAAGAAAATTTCTTTGATCCCAATAAATTTTCCCCCACAGCATCGAAACTTTCCTGAAAATTTAGTAAATATTTACTTGCAATATTTGGAATATTTAAATGCAATGTTTGTTGAAAGTTATGTATATATAG